TTCATTTATTTGTTGCTATTGTGTGGTCATGTAATCTATAATCAATATATTGAATAAAAGAGTTTTTATCATTACTATAGATATTATTATTATTATCAGTAATAGTACAGTATTTTCAATATATATCAGTGATTCAATTATCATTTTGTGCACTGTATTGATATAGCATTTATTTGATTAAACTATAATTATTAAAACAGTATAATTTAATAACTGATGTAATAATATAATATATATAAAAATTTTATAAATAGTAAGTAGAAAATTAAACAAAATTTTCAATAATAATATATTTATAAACTAAAAATTTAATTGATTCTACATTTACTATTACTATTAAGCTTATTATTATACTGTTGTTTATATGATATAAAGTATTTAAATATAATTTATAAGAATTAAGTATAGGGTTAATAAATTTACCCCACATGAGATTAATACATTTCAGTTTTACCCCCCCCCCTCCCCCCCTCCACCAGATTTTTTAAAAATTTAAAAATATTGACTTTATATATTAATATAAATTTTTAAAAAATAATAATTTACTAACTATTTACATAGATATGTTATAGTCTATAACTTATAAGTCTAAGACTATAAGCTATAGTAAATTGATAAAAATAGAATTTAGTAATATTATAACTGTAAGTAATTTAAAACTTTGATAATTTAATTAAGAAAACAATTACAGTTATGTTTAGTTTATTTTTATTTCATTATACTTTATATACTATATATATATTATATATATAGAAATAACACAAATACATTAGCGATAAATATATATATATATATATATATATATATATTAATAAATAGTATCCAATAATTTATAATTATCTGTCGTTAAAAATATTAGTTTCATATAATTTCCTTAATACCCGATCCGATCGACAACAACAACAACAAAATATTTCTACACTATTATGAGTATACGATTTAATTTGAGATTTTTGTGTGTATTTATTATCAAATCCTATTCCCCCAGAGATAACACTATAGTATATGTTAATGATAGAATTATTAATGTCTTTTATGTAATAATAATAATAATAAAATATTGTATAAATTATTAGATTGTATAATACAATTTGTATTATATTAAATATTTAGCGGTAATATGTTTCGTTAAATTAAAACCAAAATCATTAATAATTATTATATATATATATATATATATGTGATATATTCTTATTATTAAATAATAATATTGATAATAATACAATGTATATTTTATATCATTTATTTTATTTAATGCATTTCATATTAATACCAGTATAAAAAAAATAAAAAATATTTGTAATCTAAATGTGAAATCTAATATAGAGACTTATTTTTATTATGATACCCACATACTATACATGAGTATATGATCAAAAATCAAATATATACAGTATAAGCTTTTTATAATAGTACATTATATTTCAATATAATATTTAGATTAATAAATCTAAAATGTCAATTATATTAAATATATATATATACAATGTATGAACTATATTTGACCCAAACATATGTATAATAGTATGGTATAATATGCTATATTATTGACTTAACATACAATCAATAAATAAATAACATCATCAAATATGACAAACTTTTGTGTCATACAAAAAAAAATCTAAAAATTTTCATACCATAGTATACTGTATATAGCATAATATATCACAGAATATTCTTATATTACAAACAATATTTTTTTCTACACCAATAAATTGTCTGAATTTTGTATTTTTACTATTAAATAGAAAATTATTTATATATTTTCTTTGTATATCTATTTATCTATTTCTCTGCCTTTTTTTGGGTTATTTTCTTTACTTTGTTAAACATTTTCATTATTTTCACTATTATTATTATTATACTCAACTATAACAATGTATAAAAAAAAAATCTTTATTGAATTCATTGTATACAATAATGAACAAAAAAGAGAAAAAAAAATGCAAAATATGAAAATCATTGACAAAAGTAAATCATTGGCAAACAATTTATACATTGAATTGTAAATCACTGAAACATTTACTCTATAAATTGAAACCTATGTAATGTGTTTTTTTTATAAATATTTTTATAGATTCAACTACTATTAATAAGATTTTGTTTGTTAAAATAATGTATGTTTTTAACTTATTTTTTTAAATAAAAAAAACAAAATACAAGCAGTTTTAATAGTAGTATTAGTTTTGATGGCATATCAAGGTAACACCCACTTTATGATAGCATAATAAACTGTAAATACGGATATAATATAGCACAGTAAACAACAGTAGATTATAGTATTTTTAATATTATTATTAAAAAAATACTTTTTTATAAAAAAATTGATTTTATATCATTGAATTTACTATACTGTTAGTATAAAGGTATTATATAATCCTATAGAAAAACAAAATTGAAAAACATTGGATTTGTCTATAAAAAAACAATTGTAAAGCAATTAGTATTATTTAACATTTGGTAAACAATATTAATAAAATTACTGTATTTTAAAAAACATATAACTACTAGACATCAATCAACTTGTATTTTATACAAATGTAGTGAAAAACAAGAAACCTATAGTCATCGAGAGATTAAATCATTTAATCTAAACGTTTAATTAATTTGATACCCAATTTTGAAATCAATTAATGATATGCTAAATATATTGATATATATACTGTACAATATATACTTAGTATATATATATATATATATATATATATATATATATAGTTAAAGAGAAAATCAATTATTTTAATCGCAACAAAACTAAATGATTAAACTGGGTTTATAAGGGATTCAAAGGACATTTAGTGAAAAACAATTCAATAGTATTTGAGATAAAATGCAACTAAGTTTGTAAATATATATTTTTTCACATAAAACTTATACATATACTGTATATACTAAAATATATAATATTTTATTATATATTAAACAGTAACCTTAGGTCATTGACCTATGAATTATATACAGTCAGAGGCACTACTAAGGTGTTACTACTTTAAGATTAAATATCTCAATTTAGTACCAAAATTATAATCTTGATGATTTTTTTTATAAAATAGGTTGAATCCCTTCCCCCCTGATTGATGAAATTATAAATAAAAAAAAATTAAAACTAAAATTATATTAAATAAAATTCTAAAATTGCATATTTATGGTAAAAAAATAATATTTTAAAAGTAAAATTTTGACTGTTTTTTGAAAATGAAAAATAAATTAATTCTTAATATTATCATAATCAAAATTTATTAGTATTTTTTTCTCAATTATTAATTATTAACTAACAGAAATACAAATAGATTTGAGTAATAAACTACTATAAATTGTTTTAAAAACTATTTTTTTGATATATTAATGATATCATTGAAAAAGTAATTAACCTTTTTTGTTGATTGAAAATAGGGTTAAATACTTTTAAACGTTTTTATTATTAGAAAAAATAGTGCTTTTAATATTTTATTTAATATAACTTTAGTTTAAAAAAAAATTATCATTTATAATTTTATCAACCTATTACTTTAATCAAAGTTTACAACAGTACAGACAAAGTTTAAACAACAACTAAAAATCATATTTGGTTTAATAGATATTTAATCTTAAAAGTGGTAAAGTTAGTCGTGTCTCTGTCTGTATATAAGTCTCTGTCTTATATTTATATATTGATAACAGTATGTGAATCTCCTTATATAATAGCCTACATATAATGTATATATAAGTCATACTCGATAGTAATGACTGGCAATTCATCGACTGTCAGATAAGAGATTACTATTTCTTTGCTATGATTTCCTCAAATCTCTATCCATTTGTATTGATATAATCCAAATGGACTATCAAATCGATGGCTTGTCTTTTCAATCAATTATATATTTGCAATACAATCGTATAATTTATATATGAATTGAGTTTATTTATGCAAAAAAATTTATAATTAACTAACTAACTATTCATTAGAATAAATAAATTTTCATTTGATAATTGTTTGCATATGTTAGATATAGTAATAATAATAACAACAAATAATAGTAATATTTAATTATTATTATTATTAAAATACAATTAAAACATAGGTTACATAAGTATACTATATAGTATATAGTATACAGTATATATACAATATAATCCAGATATATTTTATGGAGTAGAAAAAACAAATAATTTGTGGACAATGTTTTTCACTGCACAGTTGACTTCACATGTAATAAAATAGACATTAAAGCATTAAAGTTGTATATACAGTAATATACAAATACAAACTATCCATTGGACTAAATAAATTTTGTTGTTGTTGTTGAGTAATATCAACGTATTATTATATATTGTTTAGGCGATGAAAAAAAATTTATGATTGTTTTTTCTGTATTCAACAATTACTATCATAAATATATTTTTAATGTTTTTTATAAGAAAATAAATTTTTATTGCTAACTATAAACAGTCTTTTAAATGTGATAACTATGAAAACTTTTCAAACCATAAGTATACCGAAAGAAAATAGATTTTTATTTTGAAAATAAATTTTATAATCCGATACATTACAATATTAAAATAATTTTTAAAAATTAATAAATTTAAAACTACTAATTTTTTTAAATTCAAACCAATTTTATTTTTTTTAATAATAATAATTTTAATACTTAGAAATTTCAAATACACTATAGAAAACATTGAAAACTTATTGTAGTTTTCAATAAATTATATTAAGTAATTCAAAAATTTTATTGCATATACAATAAATTGCAAAATTGTTTATGTTTTTTTTAAGTTAATATCACACACGATAGATAAAATTATTAAATTTAATACAAATATACAGTATTATTGTAAGCAAAATATAAATATATACTGTATATTAAAAATTTATTTATACAAATTAATGTATATGCGTGTAAAATAACAAACAATATAAGTTAGTTTAAAAATATCTAAATTAATAAGTTAGTAATGATAACAATCACATAATCATTACCATCACTGATAACGCTTATGTATATATTTTTATGACTAGTCTATTAAATTGTTAAAAATGACAAACAATAGGATCAGTTCAGTGACTAACGTAAGGAGTGCCTCATAGAGAAACTTTGGACACAATACGCTCCAAATAAATAAATGATTTTGTAATGCAATGGTCACCGACATGTCAAACAAAACGGTAGCGAATCGGGCCATCAATAGTATATTGATTATTGAACGCAACTGTTGTCCCGATGTCTTGTAAACCGGTTTCGGTCGGCTGTCGCAGAATCGTATGAAAAACATCAAAATCCAGTAGACGTACAGCGAATAGACACTGATTATCATGAATATGGTAGCAAAAAATGGTTGATAAGAGTCCAGACCGATGAAAGCGGGCGACACGTCTATTGTGGACAACGTATTAGAGTTACCGGCGCTATAAAAGGCACTTTGAGCGAAACACAGGTATGTGACTAACAATGACAGGCGGTATGAATCGTCACGACCTTTGAGCGCATAGTTGACCAACTTTTCCAGTCCTATATTAATGGTCAGCAGTGGTATGTTATGTACTTTGAAAAATAGGGCCGATAGTAGCACCCAAACGGTGCAAATAGTGCGTAGCGTAATGTTGGTGACCGGTTTGACATCGGAACTAGAGAAGTCCACTTTGAGAAAATCGAGGAAAGGTATGTTGAAATTAAAGTCAAACAGTTTGCTCACACGCTTTAAAAATGACTCTATGATTATGAGATAGACGTGAAAGAAAACTATTTTGGCTCTGATGGGGGTCTCAACGTTGAAATAGGGTATCCTCACTGAGCTTACACTACCGACACCGCTCCTGTATTATAAGATAACACAAAACAAACATTAATATTTTGGTTGACTTAGTTATATACAAATAGTGTAATATAGTGTATATATATATAATCGAAATAACATTAGATAATATACAGTATAAAACTTTATCATATCTATAGTACAGTACATGATCTATATATAATAGAAAAATCATTTCAACCCTTATTTACACAAAATTTCTTATACATATATATATTCTGTAAATATTTAGTATTATATATCATAACATAAATAATACACGAAATCTTAATATATAAGTATATTCTTGTACTATATTTATATATAATATCATATAAAGTGCTTTATATTATATATTTTAGTAAATACAAACAAAATTTAGTTTCTACTGTACATATAATATACAGTATATATTACATGTACAGTACATTATATAAAATTTATAAATATAACTTTAATACAAACATTATCTTTATAAGAGCATTACCGTAAATAATGGTATTTAATTATTATGTAAATATTTAAAAATGTTTTATTTTTTGTAAATATTAATTTTAAAAATTTATAAATCTAATTTCTATTATATATTTCTATTATCTGATATTAACTAAATATCGATTATCTATTAGATAATTCATTATTTAAATACAAATAGCAATATTTAAATCATGTTTTCGCAATTTCTCTAATCATTATACAGTATAAATATACTATCAATTTGTCATTCAATGATTGCTGTATTGGCGATCAATATTTATGATATATTAATAATAAAAATAATAATAACAAAACTTACTATACATATAAATACTCTAGTGATCAAATAGCACTTATGATAATAAGTTTTTTGATGAAATTTCACATTATCATATAATATATATATATATAAAATCTTGAATTGATAACTATTGATATCAAACTATTAAAATATCAATTAACATAATAAACTTAACAAATTTCGTTTGATTTATTTTCTTTAAAAATATATAAAAAGATTTAACACAAACAATACACTTACCGATAGAGATAAACCCAAACGAGACCAGAGATGAGTAGACACTGTTGTTTGAAGAATCGTTTGGTGAACATGAGGTATGAGATGGCAATCAGCGAAACAATGACTAAAACAGTTAAAATCCGTTTGTTTTCAGTTTTGTTAAGCCATTCGCCGATATCGTAATCGTATAAAATGTTCCACTCATGAGTCATCTTAAGAAGTATCAGTATTAGTACAATAGCCAACACTTGGATCAAACTGTTATCGCGCAACGAGACAAATGGATCAACTAGTGAGCCAACTGTTTGATGAGTGTATCGGTAATGGTTTCGTACGGTAATCGCCAAATAGATGGCCACAAAACTTGAGGTCATATAATACCAGAAGTAGTGTTCGTTTTCAATAAAACTTGTCGACAATAAAAGTAAACAATTGAGTGCAACAATGATTATGGCAAACATTGTTTGAATGTCTTTGATTTTTGTAAATATCAATGAATTTCGGTTACAAAATTCGATGAATATAAAGCCGAATATCGACAAAATGGCAAATATTATCGAAAGTGTTAATAACGAGAAAAATGATTTTTCCGTAAATTTGGTCAATAATTGCATTTGTAATGAATCTATAAATTTATTATAGAGATCGGCAGTCGATTTATAATGAAATCCTGAATTAAATTTGTTATTATTATTTTCATCCGTAATCTTCGTATGAAATTTGAACGCTTTTTGAATTAATTGTCGATCACTGGGCGACAGATCAACAATCAAATCGCTAATATGCAGTGCATTGGCAAACATATGACACAATTGATTGTCTTTCTTCATGTTCATAGCATTCAATACATCTAACATTACTTTTCCCATACTTTTATTAGGCACTGGAACTCCTAAAAGTACCGAAAGTGTAGATGCAATGTCTACTTGACGTACACGTAACGCACGTTTCCCGAAACCGTTATATTCGCTGCTGGTCTTTGTCTTTTTGGTACTGAGAAACAACAGTGCAGTGTCTGTCTCTTGCGGAGTGTTTCCGCCGTGATTTCCGATATCAGTCATCCCGTGATCGCCTGTTATCACAATGAGATAAGGCTCCGACACGTCAGGTGCCGTGACGTTAGTGTAAATATTTTTAACTACAGAATCCATTTCGAGCAGCTTTTTGGGCATCAATCGCGAATGATAGCCGCCGTGTGAATGGCCGATATGGTCGACACCCAAGTAATGCATTATCATAACGTCCCAGTCGTTGAGTCGCTTCAATTCTTGGTCTACACAATAGGTAACATTAGTGTCCACTTCGGTATAATCGGTGGCAAAGAATGAAGACGTGCCGTTATATCTGTAAAACAGATTTGCGGGCAACAAATCAATCCAAGTTTCGTCACCGAAAAAATTGATCCGCTTTTTTGTTTTGTTCAAATTTTCAATTAAATTTTCGCCATTAAACTTATAGGCGCTTAAGTTCATTATGAAGTCCATGAATGACGGAAGGGTTCCGCTAATCATAGCTTTAATCCTCGGCATCGTTACCGTCGGTGTAGCCGATAAGGACACTAATCCAATACCTAATACGATTAAAACCAAATGTATTATTACTGAAATAAGACAACTGAACAACAGCTCGACATACCGTTAGTCTTGAGCAGAGTTTCGGTGAATGGCATCCGACAATCGGCACAGTTGGCCACGCGGTCATCACTGTTAGCCTCAGTTTTCATTAGTTTCGTTTTGTCAATAGATGGTATAAAATCGTGACGAAGTGCGTCGACAACCATCAACACCATCTTCGGAAACAACGGTTTAGTACGGCTTTCGGTAAGTCTTGGTTCACAGCGATCGGCAATTGTCCGGTAATTATCATCCGACTGTATAATACTGTAGGCTTTGCTTCTTTTGGCCACCGGGTTGTTGTTGTCGTTAACGCCGTCGTCGGCCGACTTGACATCGCGGGCGCCGAACAGTACGTCTTCGGCATTGAAAAAACTATAGGCAAACAACAGCATTGCCGCCAATTGGATGACCAAACAGATTACGGGTAACAATCTCTTCACTAACTTATTCATTATGTGTGGTCACACAACACACACACACCGGGCGGTGATGTCTTCAAAAATTATTTATGTTTTTTTTTTAATTAAATAATTACTAATATATTATCAGTCCGTCGATTAAAACACATAATCACTGATCACTGAAATCGCATCAAACACTGTGTTTTGAATTATTAATTGTAATAAAAAAAACAAAAACAAAATTAATTAAAATTAATTAAAATAAATAATAATAATAACATCAATAATCGTAATAATAATTATTATATTATTATTATTATCACATAATTTGTGTCACATTTTTTTTTTAGTTGGGGTGTAATCTTCAATACATTTATTAAAAAATACAATACAATTGTTTATACAAATAATTAAAAACAGTATTTAAATGTAATATTTTTACTGTAATTGAAATAAATAAATAAATAAATAATTAATTATTAAAAAAAACATTGCAATAAACATAGGGGTCGTTCACAGACAACGTTACGATAGACTATATTACATCTTAATATAACTGATTGACAATCGAGAAGAAGTGGATTTTATTTTATTTTTTGAGTTTAAAACGTATTGTAAACAAAATTTTCGTCAAAATTTTTTTCATCAGCAGAAAACACGCGTCAAAACTAAAGTCTAACAACACGTGTGTAACAACAACAACACGTGTAACAATTGTTTTTTCTGTGTGACCAACCATTGTCTGTCTGTCTGTCTGTAGCTATGCCTCAGGGAAGACGTAAAGTACCGTTTAGTACGAAACAAAAGAAACAACAGATTAAAAACAAAAGACAACAGAAGAAGACCGACGAACAACAGACCAAATTTGGTGGACATTCGGGTGGAGACGATAATGTTGTTGTCGTCGTCGACGACGACGACGATATAGACGATGACCAACTTGTTGGCGAATTGGATGAAGATATCGGCGCCACCGCCGCCTCAGCCACCGGTGGCAAAACTGTCAGACAAATCAATGTCCAGAAATGTGTCGACAGCAACAAAGATGTCAATCGCTATGCTCTTCATTTTTTTGACGAAACACCCGAAGAGCTGCAAAAGCGCCGCGAAGACGGTCGCAAACCGTTTGCTAAATTACCCGAATCAGCGCTAGAAGTGTCCGTTGAAGAGGTATTTACTGTTGGCGACGGTGACCAACATAATGGTCTCGATTTGCCGAAACGACCGAAATGGGACAACACTATGAGTACGAAACAACTTGAGGCCAATGAACAGAAATATTTTAGAAAATACTTGAACTCTATCACTAAATCCAACGAAAGGTTGAGTTATTTTGATCTAAATCTGGAGACTTGGCGCCAACTGTGGCGCGTCCTCGAGATGTCCGATATTGTACTCATGATTGCCGACATCAGGCATCCAGTGTTTCATTTTCCTCCGTCGCTATACAACTATGTGGTCAACGAATTAAAGAAAGACATGATTCTAGTCTTAAATAAAGTAGATTTAGTGGACTCATCGCTGATCATCGCGTGGACTCATTATCTAAAGAACAAGTTTCCCGAATTGCATGTCTTGGCGTTTGCGTCGTACGCTGGAATGAAAAGCAAAAGCAATAAGAAACGTATCGGTAAACTACGGATGGCGTCCAATGCGGCCAAATCTTTGCAAGAAGTTTGCCAAAAGATTTGCGGCCAAAAGGCAGACCTTACGAGTTGGCGCAACAAAATCGAAGAAGAACTGCATGAAGAAGTTACGGCATCCAGTCGTGATGACCACAGCGATGACGATGATGACGACGACACGAGTAATCCATTGAAGAAATGCGAACAGAAATTAGAAAAAGTGGATCTTCATTATTATGATCAAACGGAACGCTTCAAGGATGGTGTGGTCACTATTGGATGTGTTGGACATCCAAACGTTGGCAAGTCATCGCTATTGAACGCTATAATGGGCCGCAAAGTGGTCAGTGTTTCGCGAACTCCTGGCCACACAAAACACTTTCAGACGATATATTTGACGCCAACTGTCAAGCTTTGCGATTGTCCTGGTCTTGTCTTTCCATCGATGGCACCCAAAGAGCTACAAGTGCTGATGGGATGCTTTCCCATTGCACAGTTACGTGAGCCAAACAGCGCAATAGGATATTTAGCGCAACGAATCAATGTCCAGAGGAAACTACATCTACAGCATCCTAATGATGGCGGCGACCAGTGGTCAGCGTACGATGTATGCGAAGCTTGGGCTATAAAGCGCCGATTTTTTACAGCTAAAGCCGCCAGACCTGACGTTTATCGTGCGGCCAATCATTTGTTACGTATGGCACTCGACGGTCGGACACTATGTCTGGCATTTTATCCGCCAGACTATCTGAAAGACAGAAACACTATTTGGTCTAATCATTCGGACATCAAATTTATTGAACTGATTAGAGGACAGAAATTAATGGATTATGACTTATGGGACGATGAGTTGGCCGACAATAATGAATTGAAATATAAAAATATTAAGTCATCTCAAGATGAGGAAGAAGACGAAGAAGAGGAAAGTGATGAAGAGGTTACTGGAATTGCAACAAAAAGCAAGTTTTCTGTACTTCAAGAGTCTGATTAAGATAACAACTACAGTGAAGATATTTAATAATAATTATTAAAATCTATTAATTTTAATAACTTTATTATTTAAAACTACTTGTGATTTAAAAAACAAAATATATTTTTGTTAAAACAAATCAATTATTTATATATTACAATAAACTATATAAAAAAAGTCAAAAATTTGTTATACAATAAAATATATGTTACAAATCTATAAAACATATATATATATAATCTGTATATAAATAAAATGCTATTAAAAGTAGACAATAAATTCTGGTTCAAGTGGTCGATGTTCCCGTGTGAACGCCGAAAATAATTGACTATTTAATGACTGGTTTTGCGGTACATTTCTGATGACTGCACTGACAAACGCAATGTTAGCCTCATTAGTGAACAGTTGCTGAATCTCAATGAATCCCATATTGATAGTTGACCTACCGTTATGATTGACCACTACATATCCGATATCGCTTAACGGATCTTTTCGGTACAATATTAGCCGAAAGACAGTCAGATTTCCTATCATTATATTCTGTTCTAATCTACCCAACGGTATGTCCAATACTATCAGTGATCGATGGTTTTTATCAATTATATCCAAAGTCATTGTAGTCGTAAATTCATTGAATGCCGGTCTATGACTGCCACATATAATCCGGATTACGTACACATGTTTAGCCGTTTCAGGGATACAGTTGTCGAACAGTTTGTACCAGTTATGGGTCGACGATCTCAATAAATATACTGATATAAGTAAAATACCTCTAAATAGATATAATATGACAAAACCAATGATAGACAACAACAACAACATGTTATTATCATATATGATATCTTTGTCCACAAGTTTTTTGTTGTCTATGTTATCAATAAATAGACTTTTATCAACTGATTTTTAAAGTTATTTTAAATATTAGTAACTAAAATCACGAGCAAAAATTAATTTAATTGTATTTATTTTTTCAAAAAACACGTGCATAACAATACATATTTATTTTTTAAAATTTAATTGTTTACTACAATTACTTGTGATTTACAAAACAAAATATATTTTTTGTTAAAACAAATCAATTATTTATATATTACAATAAACTATAAGAAAAAGTTTAACAATTGTTATACAATAAAATATATTAGAAATGTATAAAATGAGAAACATATATATATATATAGTCTGTATAATAAATGTAATGATTATATAAGTGATACAATAAATTGTTTGTAAAATGCATTAGTTTTGTTCAAAACACTCGATCTGTACTTTGATGGCACCGGCCGTCGGCGAACTGGCCGTTTCGAAGGCGTCCAATGCCTGTTCAATGCGATATCGGTGAGTGATCAGTGGCTTAACATCAAGTTTGCCACTACCGACCAAATAGATGGCCAACGGGAAGCTGTGTCGATAACGTTTGATTCCCAATAGGTTTACTTCTCGACAAGCGGCCGATGCCAGCGAAACGGTAACTTTTCGATGATTGAGACCTACCATTACAACATTTCCGCCGTCTTTTGTCACATAGATGGCCAAATTGAGCGATGATTCAGCGCCGCTGCACTCGAGAGTGATATCGGGATTGGCTCCCAACAAACTGACCACTTCATCGGCCAGTGCTTCGGTGTCCAATTTGGTATTAATAAGCAATGTTTTTTCGATACCCATTTCTTTAGCAAATTTCAGCCGATTTTCGTTAATATCCAAAATGCAAACTTCTTGAGCGCCCAATGCCTTGGCTGCCAATGCTGTTAGCAGACCAACAGGTCCGGCACCAGTAACCATCACTCGTTGACCCGAGCCTTCGGTAATATTGGCTCTCTTGCAGGCATAGACGGCCACAGCTAACGGTTCCATGAGAGCGCCCTCAGCGTAGCTCATGTTTTCGGGTAGTCTGTTGTTAATAATTACATAACATTTCATTAATATCAATATTTTAGTTACTAATACTGTATATCTTCAACAACAACAACAAAAAACTATGACTTACTTATGACAAAATGCTGAGCTATGATTGTAGTATCGGCGAAGTGCACCACCAGTTGGCGGAACGGCATGAAAGGTAACGTCGGGACACAAGTTATAGAAGCCATCTTTGCACGTCTGACAGGCCATACAACCGACACCGGGCTCTACAGACACCCGATCGCCGACTTTCAGATTCTTGACCAGAGATCCAACTTTGACTATCGTAGCGCTGGATTCGTGTCCGGTAACAATCGGCTCATTGATAACCCATTTGTCAATCTTGCCGTCCTTCCAGAAGTGGACATCTGAGCCGCAAATTCCGACTGTATGTGAAGCCAATTGAACTTCTGTGACATTAAAATGAATGATATATTTAAAAAAATATTAATATTTTAGTTTTTCAATTCATTACAAATATTTTTTATTTGTCATTTCATTTACCATAAGCTTTGGGTTCTTCAGGCAGAACTGATTGTTCGACTCTCAAGTCGTTCTTCTTATGGATGACAACGGATAGATTGTCTCTTGAGTCCATTTCTTCTCTTAGTGTATATGAAGAAGTGTCCAAAAAAAACAAATTATAAATACAAAAATGTCAAAAAATATTTAAGATTGACTTTAACTTCAAGTTTTTGACGTTTGAAAATCAAACTTGAAGTTTACTATTATTTGTTTGTTTATAGCTTGAAAATTGCAATTGATTTTTATGAATCCCTGAGCTGGTACTCCTCATCCTTATATACTACAGAAACTTGTCTTTCAATTTTTTATTAAATACAAATCATGTGTGTGTTTGTTGTACACCTTTATCACAAAGTCGACAGCTTTCTCGCCCAATGGCACCGGTATTAATGTAGATGTCTTTCCCCAGGAATGCAAATATGATATATTTGGTATAAACAAGTATTCATGGGTTGGTTATACATGTTTTACATAGAATTGTTATCAAATCATCTCAATTTATTTTTTTTTTTAAATTTGATACAGTATTTGCTATAAAAAAATACCTAAAATTTTTTTTAATAAACACCAGTTTAAAAGTTTATTATTTAAATAAATTACTATTTTTTTCTTTATTATTTTTTTAAAAAAGGTACAATAATTTAAGGAGTTTAAGAAATACTGTAATACTTTTTTTTTATATACTAAATCTAACTAAAACAATACATTTTTACAAATACTAAAACAAACAGTAGGGTAAGTTTAATAAAATATTTTTGTTAGTTTGTAATTGTAATGAGATTTCTGTAGATAATTTTTATTTTATTTTTAAAATAAATATTAAACAAATTTCTTTATATTAAAATGTTATTGAAATAACAACACGTCATAATCGCTGTATATTTCAACAGTAGTTTCGACTGTAATAGTAATATTTGAAGGCATATTAGACTTGCGGTGTCCAATGTTATCAACTTTTTAAAATTTTATTTGTCATTTGATTAAATTAGTATTTTTATTAAATTTTTTAAAAAATAATATAATAAATTAAGTATTTATGAAATTAATTATTAAAATAAATGAATGTCTTATTTTATTTTGTGGAAACTTTCAATATATTACATATATATTGTTTATTACATGTATTAATAGGTGTAGTTTTAATGGAATTTACAACAAAATTATTTATAAATACAAACTCCAATAATACAAAGTTTTGTAGGAATTGTTTTAATTTATTTATAATAAAAATATTTCAAAAACATTATAAGTTATAATAAAAACATTTTAAGTAAGGGATATAACTAAACTATATTTAAAAAAATTGTTTTTAAGTTTTTTTTTATTAAAAAACTATACTAAATAAACATCCTAGTACATTAAAATTCCATATAATAGTAATATTATACTGTATTTATAATTGTGCTATTAATTTAGGAAATTATTAAATATTTTTATTATAATTTAAAAGTTTTATTACAGAAGCAATTAAATTAGTAAATTGTTTCTTTTAAATATAATTTTGTTTACTAATAATAATTTTTGATAAGTATAAGAAAATATTTATATTTATTTTATGAGTAACATATATTTACAATAATCACTCCAATAGATAAAATTTGTAATATTATAATACAATATATTTAACGTTTTATTTAAATTATGTTATAATAATATTAATATATATTGAATAATATGTATAATTAATATTTTTTTTATTAGATAACTCTCTATTTAGTTAAATTAATATTTTTTACCAAAGTTTGTTCAATTAGTAAATTTTTGTTGATAATTATAATTAATTAATAAATTTTGTTATATAAAAATAATTAAAAAAAAATTTAAAAATCAGTAATTATCATTAAGAATAATAAATAAATAAAATTATATAAAATTATTGCTTTCTCTTAATTTATCTATAATAAATTTTAAATATTAATAAATTGAAATGTTTGCATTGAATTAACTAATTTTAGTAAAATTTGTCAAAAAATAAATTATAATTTTTTTTGTATCAATAAATATAACAATATAAATACTGTCCTTAAAAAATAGATTCATCTGAATTTTTACATCACTACTTATTTATTATTAGTTAAATAAATAAATACAAAAAACATTATACGATATTATTTGGCAAAATACACACAAAATGTTAGATAAAAAAATATGTCATTAGTATTCAACAGAGATTTTATATTATACTTTAAATTGACTGACTTTTTAAAATTGTTAATACATTTGTAGTTTTTCAAGTATATACCAGTTTATACCCAAAATATCGAAAACCAGATAATTTGTTACACATATATCACATGTTATTTCGCAAATTTTTTTTATCACAAAGTGATACCATTTTTTATTTTAAATAATAATTGGATTATTTAGAATAATAATAAAACTTTTTTTCAAACTATAAAATTTATAAACTTTATTTATTTATTATTATTATTACAAACTATAATTACAATAAAATAAATTAAAAGTCTATAGAATTTAATATTAAATTTATATAGATTTAGTATAGATAAATTATTAAATATTGTTGACAATTATTATTTTGGTTATTATATTTAAAAAAAAATGTATATGTTAATTTATACTAATTTAACATAGTGGATATTTAACTTTTCTAACATTAATATTAAGGAGATTCACATAATGTTTAAAATCAATAATTTTCTTTTACTATAAAAACAAATTAAATGTTTTTGCTATCATATTATAGAAAAAAATATTTAAAAAACTAACTCCAAAAAAGCACATACTTATAGAAATGTTTCATTTATTATTATTATAGAAATTGAAACTTATTGACAATAATTTGTATATCAAAACTAGTAAAGAGAAACAGAGTATCTATAAATTATATTACAAACACATACAATATATTTATATTGAAACAAATGTTGCAAAAAAGTGATTTTATGACAAAATATGGTATTTATAGTGTTTGATGACGAAGTGGTTCCTGACGTATGTAAGACATGGAGACAATCGTAAGGAAATAAAAAAAATATAAATTGATAATACATTAGAGTGTCGCCTAAATTGTATGCCATTTCCCTGTTTATATGATTTAGTATATTATTAAATGGCCACTGATTAGACACAAATATATGATATATATTAATATATATATATATATATATATATATATATATATATATATATATATGTTGTTGTTGGCGACAAATGCAGTTTTAAGTGGTTTTTTTCTTAAGGCCAATAATAAATGAGACAAATATATCATAGTATTCAACAACAACAAAATTGGGATTTTTTTAATAAATATTAAAAGCTTAACAAAAAAAAGTAAATGTGATTTGATTTTTAATCACATTTATTATTGAGTCTTTTAAGAAAATTATTATTAAAATTTTTTATGAAACAAACAAGTGTTGCGAAAATAATTATCATTAATTTGTAAATTATATTTACATAAACCAGTTATAACATGTTTTAATCAGTGATAGACTATATTTTTTCATATTTATAAAAAAATTAATTAATTTGAAAGATAAACAAAAATAATTTCGCAAAATAATGATCTTTAAATTCATACTCAAAAATAACATCTTTTAGTATTTTTGAAATAAACATAAAAACCAATATATTTTTTTGTAAAAAAAAATAATTTTACACTTTTATATATTTATTAATGAAATATTAATAAAAATTATTTTATTTAAAGTCATACAGTAGTAGTATTATTATTAACTAAATACTGTTATAACTAATAGCTTAAATAGTATACAAATTTTAGATATAAATCAAATGAAATAATTAATTTAATTTTGTTAAGTTGGTTGCAAATTGTTAGTATCTAAATAATGTTAAATCTACTAAGTGTATCGTTAATTTAAATAAATACCTAAATTTTAAAAAACACTATTTTAAGTATTATAAGTTATAATTTATAACAAAAAAATTTAATGTAATAACAATAATAAAGATATTAATAATTATTACATTTAAAAATTATTTTCAATGACAAAACAAAATTAGCAATTATTTTTTAAATATTTATTTAATCAACAAAACTAGACTAATTATTAAATGTAATATATATTAATAACTAATATACGTAATTAATTATATATATATATATATTAATATTTAGTAATATTGGAAATCATAAACTATAAAAAATGCATTGTAATTTTAGTATAAATAATTAATAAAAATAATTATGAATAAAGAAGATTTTCTTTTAGTATTATTAATTATGATATAATAAATAATATTATATCATAATGTATTTTATTGTTAATGCATAATATGATTGGTTTCTATCAATGAATTAAATAAAAATAATATATTATTAGATAAATTAATAAACTAATCGTAATTAATAAATAGAATAAATTACTAACAATTGTAATATAATAATTAAATTATGTTTTGTAACAATAATTAAAAAATTATTAAACTATTATTACTAAATTATTACAAAAATTAGTTATTTATTAATTAATACAAGTACAAGTAATACAAGTAATAATTAGACTCATTACATTAATTATTTGAAATAATAAACAATTAGTAAAAAATTTAATAAAATACAATATACTGTATATAACTATTATTGACTATATTTCTATCAATTAATTACACAATGTAATGTTATTATTATTGCTATAATCTATTATCAATTGTTAAACTTATTATAATGAATAGTAGATATAATAGAACCAAAAAAAATTTAAGTTGATTTACAAAAATCATATGAACTAGAAATGTGTTTATATTATAGATATAATAACAAACAAACAATAATAACAGAATCTATAATTGAAAAAATGAAAAAAAGTTTTAAAAAATCTAAAATGTATTATATTTTTAAAGTTTAATGAAATATTTTGTTTAATCTATAGTTTTGTTATTTAAAAAATTTATAATTTACAAATTTCTCAATGTTAAGGACAAAAATTTTTTAAATGTTAATTTTTAAACTAATTTTTATATATCTGTTATTTACTGAAAAAAAAATTATAAATATTAAATCGTAAATTTTTATCTATCATCACTGTTTATAATATTTACTTTGAAAATTCTCAATGATTATAGTTAAATAGTATTAACACTGTATATATTATAATATTTACATAAATATCTACCGGTATTCAAACTTTAATTAATTTTGTTGTTCGTAAAAATTATTTAAATTTTTTTTATATAATATATAATTATTGTGAATTTAACTAAATAGTTGTTAGTTATTATTGATTTTTAATTTATCACAATTATTAAATAGTTTGATGTTGCAAAAATAATGATCAATAATATAAATATTTACATAAACCAGTTTTGATATGTTATAATCAGTAAATGATTATATTTTTTTATATTTATAGTAAATAGAAATTAATTCATTTAAAAGACAAATATTTTTAATTTCACAAAATTTATTATATCATATGCCACCTTGCTTAATTATTTATTAATATATATATTTTAGATTAGAGAGACAGTAGTTATTTACAGTCAACTTGAAAACAAATTTTCTTGTTGTTATTAAAATAAGTAATATTCATTAGTAAAACATTGATCACTTAAATTAATTAATATGTAAAATAAGTTTATAATTATATGTTATTTTAATTATATTGACTATTTTTTAGGTAAAATACATTTTTTATATTAATATTTTTTTATTTAACATTTAAAAATATCAATAATAGTAATAGTATTAGTAACAAGTTATAACTCTATAGAGTACTACTACTCTATAAAGTAATAGTATACTATTAATATCACTAAATAATTTACTATTAATTATATACTGACCTAACGCTGATCTAACCTCACATTAAACTATACTCAAACACACCCACCCCTACACCCACACCCACACCCATAACCACGACTAATCTAAAAACTAATTAATATAAAATATATTTTACATAATTTTAATATAAATTATCAAAATTCTTATGTTAAATTGCATCAATGTATTGAATAATTTGATAATAAACTGCAATATTGTAATCTCATTATTGTTTACAAAAGACTTGTTCAATGATAGCCCTATTCATTTGTCCGAAGATCTCAATATCCACCTCTAATGGTAAACCATTTATATCTTTAATATGTTTGTCATATATAATACCAAAAGCCAGCATTTGTTGGTTTTTATGGGAATAAAAATTTCTGCGGACAAACCCAATGGGCCGCGACTTAAACCAAATGGGCTCTAATCCACAGACCATTACTTTGTTGTTCAATGGTTTGATCCAAACAAATCGTTTGGTTTCATCCACATCTCGATTCAGATCACTTCCGATAAAATGTTTCAATTGTTGTTTGCGTTCATTGATACATGTCTGGAGACCGGCGTCCGACAAGAAGTCATCGGATCTTAAGTCCAGACAACCGGACAGCCATTGGTTTTCATTTTTCAGCGATTCGTACGCTCTGTAACCGCCGTTAACTACAATCTTATTAGTGGTGAGTCGGGTATATATCTTAATTAAGTCGCTATTGTTTTTCACATGTAATTCCCATCCCGTATGAGACACTTGCGAAAAGCGTACCAAACGTATGATTATATCCTTAATTATATATAAGTTATATATAATTTAAATAAATAAAAAAATACTTTAATAAAATAAAACACTTATATAATACTGTATATTACATCAAACATTATTTCGCGATGTGTCCTATCATTAAAATCATTTAGCGATATATTGAAACATTGTTGAAGAACTTCCGTACTTTTTGGTCCATTTAATGACAAAATAGCCATTTCTTGTGACATATCAATAAACTCAGTGTCTTTGACACTGTCGACGATGATTACATTGCAAAACGCGGCGTACACTTGATTTGATGGCATATCAGCAGCAGTTATATAATAAGAGTTGTCATCGATTTTGTTGACAATCATTTCGGCCATTATTCCGCCTCTTTTGTTAAGCAAATAAGTGACAAAAGTGTGATTGTTTGGCACAGATTGGACATCGTTTGGGACCAATTTATTGATCACTTTCATAGCATTTACTCCAATCAATGAAAATTTGGCTTTTGATGTAAGATTGAAGAGTACGGCTTCTTCATGACAGGCTTTACACTCGTATTTAATTGCTTTCCATTGACGACACTCCTCGGGCCAGTCATATGTGTTATCCAAATCCATGTACTGTTCATAAGTTAGCGGTGAGTGTCGCTCCAAATCAAACCAATCGGGACAATGAATGCCATGTCTTTCCCGATATACACAACCGTTGGACAACAATATTTCATGCAATGAATCGGTATACGTCTCAGTTCGGGCTTTAAATAAAAATTTAACTAAAAATTAGCATAAATTTTCAAAAAAATTTGATCTGAAAATTATGACCGACCAGTAAAAGGTTCGTCAAATGGATAGATAATGCCATAATTGCGAGCGTATGCTTCCACACACCTCTCGTTAGACCAGACTTTGTTTGAAACTAAATGCTTATTAAATCGTTTGATATCATAAGCGGTTAAATCAATATCGGGTGCACCCGTAACAATCCATTTGGCCATTTGTTGGCCAATACCGCCAGACAGACTGATGCCGAACGAGTTGAATGCACTGCAATGGAAAAAACCTCTGACATTAAGATCTTCGCCTAGCAGTGGCCGGTGATCGGGTGTGAAAGACTCGGGTCCGCATGTAGTGGCCTTAATACCGGTGCTGCCGATAACGGGCATTAATTTTGCTGAATTTTCTAAATTTATGCCAAACTTATCCCAATTGAGATCAAACAGTGTAAACGGATCCAATTTGTCATTCCGATGACTGATAAGCACCGGATCCGGTTCATAGCCGCCAATACAGAAGCTCTGACCAGAAACACGCAATGCAATTGAGAGGTCGTGATCGCGGATATTTGGCGTGCGGTCAGGTTTAACGCCGTCGATCGGTTGAGTTATAACATACGAATGCTCCATAGTTTCCTGCGGTATGCTTGGTATACCTGGTTATGACAATTAAAATTAATTTAAAAAAAAAAATAAATTATCTATAATACTATGATATTATTTGTCACGTTTTATAAAGTCATTATGTATATAAAATTAATAAATATTTTTAAACACATTTATCATAAATATATATATATATATATATACTGTATATATGTACTCATGTATACATGTATTCATATTCTATGATTTCCTATAGAATTTAGTGCAGAATATTACAGAATACTATTAGAGATTATATGCTATTTTTACTAAATTTTATTAAGTCTGTATTTACATTGATAAAAATGTAAATAGTAAAACACAAAAAGGAAATTGGTTTTTAGTTGAATTTTATATTAATTATAACAACAAAAAAAACAGATTACTGTTTAACATGTTTAATAATTTTCATTTTATATAATAAAAATACATTTATAATAATTATTGTCTAGAAATTGAAGGTAAACCTCATAAAAAAATTAAATTATTTATCATTTATATATAAATACAGTATATATATATATACAATATGTAATATCTACTGTATAAATAAAGTTGTATGATTTGTCAAAAATAAAACAATATTATTTATAAAAAAAAATCTGCTGATAATGATCTAGTAAAACAACATTTTATTTACATTATATGCTATTTAGTAATTAAGTAATTTGTAATTACCTGCCAATTTTGCCACTACCGGTGCCCAAACACCGGAACAATTAACAATAACATTAGTCTTGATCTCGTGTAGACTGTTATTGTAGTCGACAGTAATGGCATTAACTTTTGATTGCCTAACACTGATTCCCTGGGATTCAGTGGTATTAATACCAATTACCGGACATTTGGTAAAGATATTAATGTTTGCCGCTTTAGTGAGAGCCGAACAGTACATATAGGGGTCAACGTAGCCGTCATTAGGGCTGTAGAGACCACCCGCCAGATCACTGTTTTTCTCATCAATCAATGGACTCAATAAGTCTATGGTCTGACGTTTGTCCAACAGATAGGACTCAATGCCGTAGTATTTGGCGATTCCGTGCAATCGTTGATATTCTTGCATACGTTGGTCGCTGTGCGCCAAAAACAGACCGCCATTGTTGATGAAACCGGTAGTTTCCACACCGGGATGTGTCAGTAATTTTTTCGACACTAAATGATGGGTTTGTGTTAACAGCTTGATGTCGGTCTCCGATGGCCTCAATCGCCAAACCAAACCTTTTTTTTGGTTAAACAATTTATTTGCACAAACAGTAATAATAACAACAACAAACTGAATCACCTGTAGATCAACTAATAATGATTGATATGTTAATTATATCTTACCGTTTGAATGCCATGTCGTACCACTGGTTATTTCATCCCTTTCCACTAATATGACATTATTATAGCCCAATTCGCTTAAATGATAAACAGTGGACAAACCAATAACTCCGCCGCCTATATAACCAAATAAATTATATAAAAATAAAATCCAAAAACAATATAATATTAAGTAAATTAGATAAAAAAATAAAATAAGTCAATAATTAGCTGACCCACAACTACAACATCACACGATTTTGGCAATACTTTTGTTGCACTCCTAGTGTTTATTGATGTTGAATAAAATCTAGCAAATTGTCGATACATTTGTTACTTTTGTAATTTTTCTGTTAAATTAAATTTGCTAGCTCATTTTATTTTGCATTTTAGTAAATTATATTTATTTTTGAAATTAAAAAAGAAATAATTAATAATTTGAAACACAGATTTATTTATTAATTTATTTTATTTACTAATAAATGTATAAAGTATTTTTTAAAAAATATTATACAATTATGTTATGTAATACATGATTGAAGTCAACTAACAAATTACAGTATTATATGTTTACATAAAATAAATGTTTTTAAAAAATATTATGTATAAATCATTTATAAGGCATTATTGATTAGATAAAAATAAATTATTGATACAAATAAATATAAATAAAATTTATTATTTTTTTTAAATAGTTTGTATAGATATAAAAAAAAGTTTAAAGACTTCTAGGTTATATAAAAATTATCTAAAAATATTTTACATATTATTAATATTTAAATAAATTACATATAAAATCAAATAAATTTGATTTAAAAAAATAATTTGTCCGCTATTTCTATAACTGGGCGATGACTTAGGTTTAGGTATTTGTTGAGATGATGGCATAAGACATTGATTGTGACACTGTTTATGACAATTATTATTATTATTGAGGTGTTGTTGTTGTTGTCTATTCAATTGTTTTTCGCACAACCACTTGAACGGACCCATACACGCGGCATAGGATATGGCGTACGGTATGAATGTCTGTTCAACAACACCGCGAAATACGTGTCCATTGACTCCCTGAGCGTAAACGGGAACGTCTTCACCGCCGTGTGTATCCCAACGCCGAGGAACTGCCGACTCTTGGATGTAATCATTGATTGCTAATTATTTAGTAGAATTAAAAAATGTAAAATTTTATATAAATAATAATAATAATTATATTTGATATGAAGTATTAACTTTTTATTTTAAAATATTTTTATTATTTTCTGGGATATAAGTCAAACAACACTTGAAATACAATACAAAGTAATTTTATTACAAACTTTTTTTTAAAAAAATAAAAATTTAAAAAATAGTTTAATCTCTCGAGTATTACTCGAAAATATATAATTTGTATTCAAATCTCAATGCAATTTTAGCTAACAATAGGTTTAACTATTATATAGATATATGATTTTGCACTTATATTATTATACTAATTTGTTCTCTACAATAATACAATACAAGATTAATTTATTTTCTATACACAGTAGTAAATGTTGTGAAAATTTTATATGTATTTTATACAATATTATAAGTTATACTGTATACACATTTTATATGATATAATAAAAAACAAAATAACAACTGTTTTATTTTATTATACAATACAATACAAAAACACTTAGAAATTGAGTTAAAAGATTAAATTCAATTAAACACACACAGACATAACAATCCAATTTTTTTGTTAGTTGTTTTGATCATCAATTCAAATAACATTTAAGTTTTTTAGATATTATAAGGGTATTTGATTTTAGTTTTATTTTCCAGAAATATATATATATATATATATAGCAGTATATATATATATATATATATATATATATATATATATATATAAAATAAAATACTAAAAATAAAAATTGTTTACAAAAAAAATCTTTTGAATCGACCGATAAGTTATGTTTGTTGTTTGACTTGAATTAAATTTTTGTCTGAATAATACTGTACTGTATATATATATAAGTTTTTAAAGTCTTTAATAATTTTAATTTTCAACTATTTATTTCATATAATATGAAATGAATTGTTTACTTTATACTACAGCAAACTAGCGGCAGATGTTGTATCAAAAAATTAACAATTCATATAAATTTTATATTTTGTATATAAAAATATAGAGTAATATATGTATTTTATAAAAATTAAATATGCATAAACTTTGTAATAACTTAATTTTTAATAAAGTTTTAATTTATATAAAAAAATATATATATATAATGTAGATTCTAATTATATACAAAAATAAAGTAAATTTTAATAATTATCATTGTTTGGTACAGTAAACTATAATAATTACAATTTTTCTAAATTAACTTTTGGTTTAAAATCAAAAATTATTATAATAAAACTTTTCAAAAATATTTTTGTTGATGAAATTTTCTCGATAATATCTAAATATAAACATTAATTATAAACTTAAATGTAGTTTTAATATACTGTGATTATGTTAAATAACTAATACTTTATAACATAACTAAAATTAAAAAAAATTAATTTTTTTGTAAATTAGTATAATTATTGAAATATATACTAAATTATTATACCGGTTATATATTCAATAGAATATTTGTTTTTTATTTATTTATAAATATAAAGATATGTGTTAACAAAATAATTAAATTATTATTGATATATTAGTTCATTGATTGAAAATAAATTTTAGTAATGAAATAGCCTATAATTAAGTTAACAGTCAGACAACATGAGGATTATGGAGTTTATGGATAGAGAGAGAGAGAGAAAGAGAGAGAGAGAGAGAGAGAGAGAGAGAGAGAGAGAGAGAGAGAGAGAGAGAGAGGTGAGATGGGTATATTCTGTATATGCAGTATATTATTGATTAGGGATAAACTGATAGTTCATAACACTTACTCGTATCCACTGTTGATATATTAATGCGTTTTCTGGTATATCCGGGACCGTTAGCGTACAGTAATGTTGTATAATGCAGTGAATCGACATCGGATGGCTTACTATCGGTGCCTAATATATGGTTTCCTCTTTTCGGTGATCCTCCAAATGTAAAGACGTGCGAATGATCTGCTGTGACCACTAATAGCGTGTTTGACGGGTGCGTCAGCTTAATGGCTGCTTGAATGGCCTCATCGAGTGCCAGTGTGTCTACCAGTGCTCGTTTGGCATTATTTAGATGATGGGCGTGATCTATACGGCCGCTCTCGACTAACAGAAAATATCCGTTCGGGTTATGTCTGAGCACTTCAATCGCTTTGGTAGTCATCTCAGCCAGTGATGGCTCACCAGTTGGTCCATCCGTTTCGCGATCCACTTCATGGGCCATATGATTGTGGCTGAATAGGCCTGTCAATAGTCAATAGTCAATAGTATAGTCAATAGCACACCGTTAGCAATAAAAGACATTCATTCATTATTCATTAAATTACTACTAAATGATTCAATAGGACAGGTGTCACAGTCAATGAATGAATGAATTAGTAGGTCTTAGAGATTGGTAGGTAATGCTAACCGAGCAGATAATCAATATGTGTAGTATTAAGACTGTCAAACTCGAGCTTATTCTTGACATAACTAGCCTTTAGGTCTCTATCTTTTTTATCCCGGAGCCAATTGTCAATCAGATTACGATTGTCTAATCTGCGTCCAAATTCATTAGGCCGTTGAGTAGACCAATCCATTGCACTTATGAAATGCCGGCGCCCTCCTCCCAGAATCACCTATAATAATAACAAAAAGTCACATAAATATCATATACTTAAATTAATATTAATATAAGATTTTATTATTTGTGGACAGGTAGGTAGTTAATTGGTACAGACATTGAGATCCCTTCCCGGATACTCTTCAACCAGTTGTCGGGCAATGTCTTTGCACTGAGTTCTGGCATTTGGTGGCAGTTTGTCATCACTTTCCCAGTATCTGCTGGCGCTGTGGGCATAGAGTGCCGCTGGTGTGGCGTGTGTTACACGAGTGGTCGTCACTATTCCCGTTGCTTTGCCTAAAAATAGTAACAAATAATAATATATATATTTTTTTGTTTATTATTGTTTTTAATATAATATAATATTTTGTATACATATGTATAGTATATTGAATATGTTTGCCTAACTCTCTCTCTCTCTCTCTCTCTCTCTCTCTCTCTCTCTACTACAGTATATAATTGTTGTATTTTTATTTATCATACATTTTCCATAAAACTTTTTACTCAACGCATCATTGATTGATCACATATGTAACATAACTTTACAAATATAATTAGTTTTTTTTCAACTCATCCATTAAGTTAGTTGTTTACTTGAAGTTTTTGTTGCTGATAATTCAAATCATCAATTTTATGGATCAAACAAATTTTCAATACAAATACCAATATTAATAAAGTATTATAAACAAATTACTTTTACTATAATATAAACTAATTTATGAATTTTATGAATTTGTAATTTTTTTTGTTTGTGATCACAATTTGATTCAATTTTGTTTCTATTGTAAATCAATAATAATTTATAATTTACATTTTTTTAATCATAAAATAAATCAAGTTTTATATTAATTTTCATTCAAAATATATTGATATTTTGTCAATACTGAATATAAAATATTTATAAATGTTAATATATTTTTAATTATTAAAATATTTAGTGAGAAATTTCATACATTTATGGTTTGTTTAATAAAATTTATATAAAAAATTTGTTTTTTTAATCTTAACAATTATATCAGTTCATTGAATATTGATTTTATAAATTAATAATCTTAAGATTTTATTTAATAAATTAGTTTCTAAACTTATACTTAAATACATTAATTTAAAAATAACTTTACTTATGATCGGAGTCTTTCATTTCACTAAAATCATCATTAATTATATAAGACATAACTTTTTTTGTGTGTGTATGTAATACATGAGATTTATGGCTTATAACTTTCATTAGTGTTGTACAGTATTATCCTATTTATCATCTAATATGCATTTTTGTTTGCTATTTGTTAGTTTGTCATCCTTTAGAAACTAATAATAATAAGATTAGTTTTGTAAATTATATTAAATTGTAATATAGAGTAAAAATAATGAATCTACTAATATAATACATAATTTATAATTTAACTTTAGTTACACAACAAACACAATAAAAACAACTATAATAATTAAAAAAAACAAATATTGAATACAAATTTTTTTTAATTTTTAGTACAAACCTTCCTCTAGAGCCCAGTCGGCTATACTTTTAACTCGTGAATTAAATGATGAATGACAGTCCTCGTAGAAGCCATTCTCGTCCAAACCGATTGTCTCATACCTGGCCTTTACGCCATTCAACAATGCTGTAGCACAGGCACCTGAGTCGCCCACCTGACTATCTATGGTATAGGTCTGTATATATATATATATATATATATCAGATATTTAGTATATTATTTACGCTATAACACTACTACTATGAATAGATATTGTTGGACTCAAGTGTTTCATTAATGTATAAGTATTTGGCAAATAAATTATTTATATAACAAAACATATACAGTATATAATAGTTTATATATATATAATTATTTAGTCGAGTGGACATGTTTTTTATATTTTGCAACTATAAAAAACAAGTTTACTATCAATTTGTGTCCAATTTATACAAAAGACAGCAGCAATTCATATATAAATTTTCTATTAAAACACTCAGTTTTTTTGTATCCTAACTGACTGACTGTATAAGAATTTTCAATATATATAAAAATAAATCTAATTTGAGAAATCTTTCTGGAAATTTTATTTATCCATAATTTACACTTTTGTTTTGTAGGCTTATATTATAGTAATTGATGCACTTTAATTGTATTGTTTATTATTTGATTTACCACCTATTAATTACCTAATAAATAATATTTTAAAATTTTGAATTTTTCCATTATTTTTTTTGTCTAAAATAACTTGTAATAAGTTTTCTATGAAACTTACTAATAGTAAATTTATTTATTTTTATTTTATTATAATAAACTAATAGCTTGTTTTCTATTATTGAATTTAATTTATTTTTCATGAGTTTCTCTTTTTTTTAATTCTTTTGAACTTAATTTTCCTAAAACTTAATTGCTTTTCATTACATATTTATTAACATTAAATAAATAAATAATTTATTTATTTCTGTATGAGTATAAACTATATATATGTATAAAATTCTCGTTAATTATAATTAATTAAATAATCAAGATCGTATAGATTAAATTTTTATATTGTGCTGAAATAATTTTTTTGTTTTATTAATTAATTTTTTTTTTAAATCAGATAAAATGTTTTAAGATGAATAATAATTATTATATATAAAGTAAATTACTTTTAACAATAATAATGTACAATATTTTTTTTAGTTGCAATAAAATATAGTTAAATATAATTGTATGCTAATTAATTTTATTAGAAAATTTAATCAAATTAATTAAGTAACAAAAAGTATTTTACACGAAACTAATAATTATTGTTTTATTTTATTTTTTTTTTTGCATTTTACTGTATATTGTAATATACTTCAGTTACTAAATAAAAAGCAAATTTTTATATTACTAAATTCATGTCTAAATACATTGATTTATTTTTTGTTATTTTTTGATCATTATATATACACTTGGATATCAGTGACTAATTAATTTAAATATATATAAAAATATTTTTAATTAACGACAAAAAAACAAGTTTTAACTCTGTTTGATCAACACATGTAATGTTAATACTGATTAATTGATTGACTGGACTGACCTTTGAAAGTGCAATGTTTGGGAAGTCATCAAACGATAGCTGGTGTTCCTCACCGGACAGTCCTAACTGTTGGCCTTTCAGAATGCGAGCCGCCGTTACGGTCGTAATGCCCATACCGTCGCCAATAAATAGTATAATATTTTTGGCCGCTGTTGTAAACTGTCGATCCCATTGACGGCTATTATCGCCATCATTGTGACCATCATCTGCTACGACATTATTTCTTATGAGTTGAGACTTTGCCAACTCATACCAATGATTGCGATCTGTTTTTTTTAATTATTATTAATATAAAAATATTATACATATTTAAATCAATAATTTTAGTTTTTTTTTGTTTTTGAAAAGTAAATAATTGAAGTTTATTTGTATACTTAAGTTATTATAATTTACTATATGTTTATTGGTTTAGTATAACAAAAAAAATCTTATCTTTTTTTGTTGCTTTAGATAAATTGATACATAAAAAAATATATGTGTTTCAATTTTAGGGTACTTTTTAACTGTTAAATCAATTTCTGATAAAATAAAATATGTATTTAATGTTAGTTTTGATGAGTATTTTCTAATAAATGTATATTATTTTTATATGATATATATATTGACTTTCTTTTAACCACTTTTGTCAAATAAATTGTATTTGATTGTCAACTGGTTTTGTCATAAAATATTTTTAGTATAATGTATGGATGTATTTGAACAGATATAATGTTATCCAATTCACCAGTTATAATGATAATTGTGGCAAAAAGTTTCTTTTAATATTATATATATATATATACAGTATAACTGTTATATCATATACTTTTTGCTGTTATATTGCAATAATCAATACAATCAAAAAATAACAACAAGTCTTTCTTATACTGTATATATATATATTGATCCGCACTGTTAAATGTTAACAACACTGATGTTAGTATACCGTTAAAAGTGGGCTATAATTTGCTTTTTTATTGTTGTCTTTTGTATTACAGCTTTCATGTCATGAGCTAAACTGATTGCCAGACATACAGACAGAGAGATATATACACTATTTGCTGAGATTAGAAAAAGAGAGAGAGAAAGAGAGAGAGAGAGAGAGAGAGAGAGAGAGAGAGAGAGAGAGAGAGAGAGAGAGAGAGAGAGAGAGAGAGAGAGAGAGAGAGAGAGAGAGAGAGAGAGAGAAGTCAGTGAAAGGCTTCAAATTCCGGGGAAAGTCATTTTCAATATTGGCTAACAGTGCCCATAACTGATGGTATTGGCGAATATGATAGCCGTTTGTTAAATGATAGATGCATAGAAAGCACTGTTATGCCTCTCCCTCTCTCTCTCTCTCTCTCTCTCTCTCTCTCTCTCTCTCACACACACACACATATATATATATATATAGAAAACCTACCATTGATTTAATTAATAAATGATTAGCTGCATGTCTGGTATCAAACGGTCCATAATATCTACAGTATGTGTCAAACTGGACCCATAATATATATCTATTATGACATCGTAGTGGTAATGATCGCTAAAAACATTATCGACTCATATAAAAATGATATTATTATTATATATAGTAATATTATACTTTATTATATAACAAATATAATAAATGAAAATCTAAACCTTGAATTAAATGGCAAAGTATTGTTTCATAATATAAAATCAATGGATTTTTTTTATTGTATGCCTTCACTCAAAACACAAACGCATCTCTTAGTATTCAAACGTTTAATTTTGTTTTTTTTTTTAAAAAAGAGAAATTCAAACGTGTTTTATCTTAAACAATAAAATAACAATTTCACTACAATTATCTGTTAACTTGTATTACATGGGCTCTAACATACATAAGCTCTCTCTCTCTCTCTCTCTCTCTCTCTCTCTCTCTCTCTCTCTCTCTCTCTCAGTCAATGGTGTTAGCTCTCATGAGATGTCATCAATACTTGTTGTCGATGTCGTAAATATTTGTATAGACAAACTAAAAAACACATCTACCAGTCCTCCCTCCCCTCCCCTCTCCTCCTACTCCTTTTTAAACCAGAGTTTCCACTAATTTTTTTAAAAAATTACTGAAACCGTGAGTTATATTATAAATTAATTAAATTAACTAAAAACAATTTGGCAATAATTTGTTTAAATTGTATTATTTATGACCCACTAGTTATACATTATTAACAAATATCACAAATACTGTCAAACAATTTAATATTTTATCAACAGTTATAAAATACTTAATGATATTTTTTTAAAAAAAAAGTTTACAAATTCAATTATTACATGTTTAGTAATAATAATAATTATTATGTTTTAACACTTTTTATTGAATAACTTGTGAACTAAAATTTTATGCACATTTTTAATCTAATTTTTTTAAATGACATTTTATGCATTGATGCATATATTACTGTTAAAACTATTTTATCCATTAAATAGTTAGTAAATAATTTAAACACTATTAGAAAGCAAATATCAAACTTGAAAAATAACTTTAATAATTTCAGTTAAATTGTTTTTATTAAATCATATGTTTATAAAAACAATGATTTTTTTAAAAACAATTATTATTGTAATTACTTGGAAACAAAATTATATCAATATTTTTTTTTAAATCTTCAATAAAATTTTTAAAATATTTGTTTACCACAAATGACTTTAAAATATCCCAAGTTTTTAACATAAATACTAAATCAAAAATAATTATTTTTTAAATGTTAGTCAATGTTGGCTAATACAATAAACGATAAATGACAATAAATAATTTTAAAACAATAAAAAAATTTTACCACAAGTGACCAAGTTAATGTTTTTATTTAGAAAATTTATATTTAATTGAATTTTATTTATTAAATTTGATTTGTTTCAAAATGTAATTGAATATATTAAATCAAATGCTAAATATTAAGTGAAATTTTCCAAATTGTATTAAATCAATGAAATAAGTAAATAACTGTATGAATAAAAATTTTTGAAAATGTTTGTAGACTTTCATCAAATATTATCAGTTAATTTGGTTCATTGGGTTCATTGATCACTCACTATATCAACAAATGTTTCATTTTGATATACATATACTCCAAGTATTATTTGTTAAATACTTTAACAATTACATTACAGTACAGTACAGTAATATATTATAGTATTATATCATATTATAGATTAGTTGTATGATATTGGATAATATACAGTAGATTTTTTTTTATAAAATTAGATATAAAATTTGGATTCAGGCATTGAATTAAATTACATTTTAATTGAATATAATTTTATTTTCAGTTAGATATATATAATATATATTGTATATATAAGTAAACTATATACGGTATATAAATTTTATTATTTTTTTAATGATGTATATTGTAGGCGTATTTATAAAATTGTTTCTATAGGCTATTTATTATAAGTATAAAAATTATATTAACATTTAATTTGATACAAAAAAAAGTATTTCTTATATATTGAAATAAAATATTACACATAGATATTATTGGGAAAAAATTAAATTGAAATTTTTCAAAAACTAATAACTGATTTATATAATATTTGATGTGATAACCGAGTCATATATATATATATATATATATACTGTATATATATATATATAAATTATATATAAATTAATACATACCCTGACAGTAACATAAATCCGATGAAATGCAAATGCATATGAATAGTGCTGTAAATTGCATTGAAATCATCACAAAATTGTCACAAAATAAATCATAACCAAAGACAACATGAATTGTATGGAAATATCACTATATAAATGATAATAAGATTGTATATTACAGTATAGACTATACAATATACATGATATTATGATACTGTACTGTACAAACTTTTTTTTTGGGTAATATATTAAATAAAACTAAATGTTTTGCATTAAACACAATTATATTCGTATATATTTATATGCAAATGTGGTGAACATTATTATCCGAGCAGAAAATACAATTATATTATTATTATTATATTTTTTTCAATTAAAGCAAATATGGTTTTTTATATAATACAGTATTTTCCCGAAAAAGGACTGGATATGTATTAACAACATCTCCCGGACCTCAAATAGACTGGGAATATGAAACACTAATATACTGTATATATATATTGTATGTACTGTACTGTAACTTATATTCAACACAATCTGTGATTTAGTTGAATATATAAGTAAGTTGTGGCCGTTTTTTTAAAAATATATATATATTATTGAGTTACCAATGAATTTCAACTGTCTGTCCCATCAAATGCTAATACACTAACACTGTTTACTATAGTATATACAGTATTCTACAGTTTATTATTGATATTAAGAGTTAGTGATCTTAACATTAGTTACATTGAAAACTGTTTTTACAAGTATTTTCTGTCTGCTTTTCTTTGGCATCTCTAATGTAAGCAAACGGCCAGACCATGGATATGATGGGCTCATCCTATTTCAGTTGGAGAGTCTCTCCTATTAGGCTAAACACACGGCTATAATGTGGTTTTGGTTCGGTATAATGTGTATGTGTTTGTGTGGTATATTTATTATACAGTATAGTGTACAGCATATACTGTATAAATAACAGAAACTAATTTATTATGATTATGTATATTTGTGTTTTGGTTTTTACAAGTTATTACATTAGGTTAACTACTGTATAAAAACTCATATATGTATGGGTATATGTTATCATTTGGCATTACTTATGTTTTTATCAATTATATACAGTATATATATATATACACCATAATCAAGTTTATCAACTTATTATATTCATTTACTATTTTCTAATCTACTCAAAAAAAACTGTCACTGTTTATTGATTTATCAATTGTAATGTTTATATGTGTAACCTACAACAAAAAAATGAGAAAATTTAAATTTAGATAACAAAAGTGTTAGTAAAAAATTTTTCCATTAACTGATAGCATCGACAACAATAACATAAAAAACTCCTATGAATAGATTTGAAAATTATATTTGCCATAAATGTGTACAAAAAAAAACTAAACTTATTTTTTTCTACAGTATTATTATGTTAGAAAATAAACTGATTGAAATAATGGCTATGTTTTTATTATGTTACTAAATTGCTTAATTAAATTATTTATTTTGTACTGTACTGTACCGGTATGTACTGGATATATCATAAAATAATATATATTTAATG